GCAAAATCAAGTAGCATGCCAACATCTAAACATATACAGCTCACACAGCCAGCAAAATAAAAAAATCAAACTTATATAGCTCTAAAGTGAACAGCAAAAGTCACTGGTCGCAGCTCTAATGTCTTTATCTTAGTTCCACTTTGGTAAAATGGAAGTCCTACTAGCTGCTTCCTCTTTTCATAAGGGCTGTGGTAAGGGGAAATCTGTTCATGTTTCTGAACTGCTCAGACTTAGAGTGAAAGTGTCACAGGAAAGCCCATGAGGAAATGTAATCAGTTTGTGTTCTAGGCAGAGCTTAAGTGGTGTTTAGTAAATAAGGCCTGAGGTCAAGTGATGAGGGTTAGAAGAAATTCTGAGCAGTTACCCAGTGAGCACGTAACAATCTGTCCTATGCAGTGACAATCCTGTGACTGTGATACAATGCAGATGCATATAGAAGTTTAAATTGAAAAATGAAGAACTATCACAATTTTAATGTCTTATTTCTGAGCAATTCATGTTTCCAATCTCAGTGTTTTAAATGCAATTATTAAAAGGTAATAAGGACAGACAGTATAAAAATAGGTGCCCATCTAGCTCAAATATAATACAGTTAGCACATTTAGAAAATAATTACTTTACTAGGCATTTGTGCTCTGCAACAGAGTAAGAATTGGACTTCATAGGATATATTCTACTGTCTGGTTTTGAAAGCCCCAGGCAAAGGCTCTGGAGAGATATTCTTGTGCATTTCACTATTTAATACTTCCCCACAATATTCAGGTTACATTTTCCCTGAATCAATTTCCTGCTGTTTTTATATTTTTACATATAAGCAAGCACAGCATTAAAGATTCATTGTCCTGACTGCTCAGAAACAGTGAGTGTGAACAGGTATTAACACGCCCCTACAAAGACAGTCAACCAAACCAAGTATGTCTGAGTCATTCTCTCCTTCCATTTTTCAAAAACCCAAAAAGGCTTGGATGATTTCTCCAAACCCTGTCTTTGCTATTGCTTTGCTTTGAAGACCATCCAGGTTATCACCACCTCTCTCATTTGGTAGACCACTGATTTCAGAGAAAGATCAACCTCCTGGTCCTGTTGTGAGTGCTTTTTGTGCCAGCAAGACCAAACTCCACTGACCGTCCTTAGGTCACACTGCATGCCAAGATCTTATCAAATCTGCTCCGTGTATTGGCCCACCTACCACCTTCCATTTGTTGAGCCCCACATCTGGCTTTAACCAACATATTCACAAGTTCTTTCAATATCACGTCTGCCAAGGCTTTTCCTCCCTTCTCATAGTCTGTGTGTTTCAGGTTGATTAATTGATGTTTGTTTTGTGGGCTTTTTTATTATTTTTTTTCAAGATGAAATGTGGGTTTTTTTGGCTGGCTTTCTGCTCCTCCAAAGTCACATTGTATTTGTTCTCTGTCTAAACTTGCATTTGCAATTCAGCCCAGTTAAATAGCATTTGTTAATGCCATTAATGGGCTTTTAACTCCCCGCAACCTGATTAATAGTGGAGATATTAAGTACACCCAGAAGTAATGTTTACAAAAGCATCCACGTGATTTAGAAGCATGAGTCCTGTCAAATGTCTCCGTGTCAGCTTTGCCTTTGAAAGTGAACTTCACAGTTTGGCATGGACCCAGAGAGCTGGGAGCATGCTCCATTTCTTTTTTGGGGGAGGGTTGTAAGCTTATCCCTCTGCAGCAGGACATTGGGATGGGCATCAAATCAAAGTTGAATTGCACACACAGACATTTTTCCTTCCCTTCCTGACTGCTAATAGTTTTAAAAGATCTTGTTTCCTGCCTTTACACCCTGTTCAGTCAATCTTTTTGTTTTGTCCTTATGTTTTTAAAGAAGCAATGGGGACTCTCCGTCACTTCAGGCTCCATCTCATTTATGCATGGATAAGCTCTCCAGTACTACTTGTTTTCACAACCTCTCTTCCTAAAATCCTTTCATCTTTCCTTGGCAGCCAGAACTCCCTTTAGATTTCTCTTGCATGTACCCTTTCCCTGCAGGAGGTGTTGACTGAGCATTCAGGTTGGGTTGCTTTGCCTACAGCAGTGGATATTAACAAATCTAAATAAAGAGACCTATATCTGCATGAGGAAGACAGGTACCACAACTGACAGTGCTTGCTGTGTCCTTCTAATGCTTTCCTTTCTAATAAGGCTCACAAATGTCTTATCTCAACTGAGCCACTCTCAGCTGGCTTTCATATCCCTGTATGGGCCAGTCCAAATTCTGGGAGAAGAACAAGACTAGACACCTATCTTCTTTCCTGGCTCCTCCTTCAGGAAGAGATTGTTTACACCTCAGTACATCTGAATGATTTCCCAGAACAGCAGCTAACTTGGTGCTAATTCATCACAGCAGGGACCGCACAGCTCCATCTCACTCACTGCACAAAAGCGCTGTAACTCCAGGGTCTCACATCCTGCTCCAGATGTAAGTTCTTCAGGAACATTGATGAAAGGAGGAGGGGCTTTCTATCCAGTGTCCTCAGAATTAAATCACTGCAAAGCTCCCTGTTGGCATTCCCTGACCTCAGCTCCACTTTCAAGAACAAACACAACTTTTACATCCATGCCCTTGCTGATGCCCTGCAGAACCTCACTCAGCTGCATTGTGCTCACCACTGGAATTAGAGGTACGGAGCTAGCAGGCCATCTGCTGTGCTGACAGAGACAGCTCCCACTCCTGCTCTGGAGAGCCAGCTTGCCTTGATCCAGACACCATGTTAAGCCTGAATGACAGCCATCAATGATTCAGCAGATTTGGCGTTTGGCTGCTTGCTCTCTCATTGTTTGCATGGCAAAAGAATGACATCTATCATCATTTAGGGGCCTTGCCCATGCTGAATTGCTCTGAGGTTTGCTATTTGACACAAACTGAGTTTTCAAGGGATGATCACACTAGAAGAGTGCATGCTTTCATCTCCTCTTGCAGCAGGAGAGGAGTGGTACCTCATCATTAGACAAATGCACAATGTTCTAGCAGAGCTGCTTCCCTTTCCCACAGACAGCTTTTTGTCACCAAATCACTTGCAAAGACCAAGGTGAAGGAATGGTGCAGGAGAGGAACCTCCAGAATTTCTCCATGGAGCAGGGAAAGGATGGGATGTAGCTGGACACTGCATCAATACTTTGCATTTCCCAACTAAACATAACTAGAAATTGCAGAAGAAGCATAGTATTTAGGAATCAAAAGATTTCCCAACAGCTGTTCACACAGGTGTCCAGGATTGTATTTATATATTTACATATCTGTATCTATATCTATATCTATATCTATATCTATATCTATATCTATATCTATATCTATATCTATATCTGTATTTGTATCTGTATCTATATCTATTACATATAAAAATTAATATAAATATTTATTATATCTTAATAAAATTTTATATATAATAGATACACAGCAATAATATATAAAATATATACAGTTATATGTATGTATAATATTTCAAATATCTAAAGCCCATTGCAAGAGGGACTGATCTCACTCAGATCAGGATCCTTTGGGTACAGTGTGGCTATGAGCACTACCTCAGGCACTGTTTTATGGTAGCTTGGCACATCCTGTGGCCCTGCAGAGAGGGAAACCACTTCAGGGAGTTATGCTCAGTGGAAATTTCATGTGTTCAAAGAAGCTTGTGGGGATGGTGACGTGGTGTGGCCTATTTGCACAAGGTTCAGGGCCAGAATTAGACCTACACCTATCTCATGGCAGCTGGTGTGACAGAGAGAGGCAGAGTTAGCCAGGAGGGTCCCAGAGAATTTGGTACCTGGTGAATATGAGTCATGAACTAGTTGAAGTGGGGGATGGAGAACCACAGAATGTACCCGAGGCACAATCCTGCTGGACTGCATGCTGCTTCCCATTGGGCCCCTGCCAAGCATGGCCCTGCCTGATTTTGGACATCCTGCTGTGGTTGCGCTTCCAATAAAACAAAAGAGAAAAGAGTTTTGTTTCAAGAAAGAAAAAATACCCACAAAGAAATTGAATAAATGCTATTTAAGTCCTCTGTGTCCTGTTCATGAATTTAATACAGAACATGGGTCCATCTCAAAGTCCCAACACCCCACAGGGGGCCTCTGAGAACACCTCTGCAGGAGAGTTCTCTCTGATGTACCCTGTCCACAAACCTCTCTGAAGCACTCCCTACAAAGGCCAGGACAAACCAGCAGCTCCAGAAAACAGATGGGTTTTCTAGGAAAAAAGTAGTCCATGTTTCTCTTGCTCATTAAAAGTCTTTGGCTTTGCTGAAGATAGTCTTTTAGATTTAGACAAAGAGTAAAACATCACCTACTCTGCTGCACAAATGCTTCAGGTCTGTGGGAAAACAGAAACCAGAAAACAGGAATGGGATTGCTCTGTGGACCCAGCCTTCCTCTGCCCAAGGGCATCAAGGGCATGCTTGTGCACTGCAAACATGAGCTGTGGTTGGGTAAGCCCAAAACCTTTAGGGTTCCCAAGCTTCCTTGTCTGATTATGGCCTGATATTTATTTAGAGGTTGGTTCAAGGAGGGGGGGGTGTGGTGTAGGAGTTCTGAAGAGGCTCTCTGTCTTCTTGGAACACTGGAGAACCCCAGGCAAGCCATGCAGTGGATGAGGGGTGCCAATGAGGAACCTGACAATGCAGAGCGTGACTTCTTCCATAAGCACCACCCTCCTCTCTAGAGCAGGTTTGTATACTGCAAGAACATATCTCTCTACACCCTCACAAGGACTGTGAAATTTATTAATATACTCATTATTTTTCATGTGGAATTTCCAAACGCAGGGTGAAGATGAAGCCCTAGTTCCAATAAACTCTGCATCAGCTGTACAAACCTGTCCCAGAGAACAGATAGACACAACAGAGCAAGGACATAAATCACACATGGGGAATGAGGGTGGGAGGGGGTAAATGAGGAAGGTCAGAATAGTTGGATGATAAAGGAGGCAGCACAGTGATCTCAAAGGCAGAGTTTGACTGATGGTGCATAACTCACATGATCTGTCCCTATGAACGACAGTCCAGCTTCACCTCTGCTGTCTTCTCCTTTCTTCACCTCTCACCATGACACCTAATGAAAGTGAAACTCAGATCACACTAAGGTCAAGGTGAAAGAGAAGGTGAGACATGTGTGTTTAGGGCTTACCATGCTCATATCTAAGTCAATGTCCCAAGAGAATGTCCAATGTCCCAGCGCTTAAGAGAACATCTGCCAATGTCAGCAGACACTTACTGAAGAAATTGGTCTGGCAAGTTGAGAGATGGTTAAAAAAATCCACAGGCAGGTCTGGAGAAGGAATGCTCAGGATGAGCCATTGAGACATGGCTAGTTATTAGGAAGGCTGCAGCGCCCTGATGTCCACAAGACAGAGAGGAGATATCAGATCTTCAGTTCATCAGTGTGCTAAGGGGGCATAACCCCTTAAAGTCAGCCCTGAAGTCAGTGAGCCACAGAAGTCCGTGGAATGGCATTACTACCACACCACAGTATCCTCAGGTGGCACACGCTAGTGCAGCTTCATTCCAAAATTAGGTGCTGATCTGTCCCAAAATGATTTTTTTTTTTTTTGGCTGCTTCAGTGTTGTGAACTTTTACCACAAGCAGAACTCTACCCTGTTGTTTCGATAAGAGACAGAGGATGTTTCGCAAAACTTTGTGGCAGAACATGTAACGCTGGCCAGAGGGCTGTCAGATTTGCAAAACTGGGTGAAATGTTGCAAACAGGCAGACTGGCGCCATTGGAGAGCAATTCCGGAAAACGAACTCCCGGACAATTCCCGCTTTCTACCAGGCACCCAAACACCTCCATGTATGCTTTTAACTGCTGCTTCTGCATCCCAAATACTGTCTAGCCTCCAGGGCCTTGAAGCACTGCCCCAGTACCTATGAAAGGACAGAAATAATGAATATGGAATGTTTATTGAGAGCAAAAGAAGCCAGAGGTTTGAATATAAGTATTAAAAAAAGTCTTGGCTTCGCACTCCATAGTTCTGCAGGGAACTTGCCATCCCGCAATGCCAAAGACTGAAAATGCCACCAATATATCCCTCTTAGGGGCCACCCAAAATGTCTGAGTAGATGGCCATGCCATTGTGTGATTCCCTAAAATAAAATTACTGTAATTGTGGTTAGGCTTTAGCTATCCAGGAGCCACATGAAAGAACATAAAAGCCACAGAATAACTTCGCTACATTGTCTCCTGGGGCTTTGCCAGGGCTATTTCTGAGATGATGAAATCTCTATCTCTGGAGAACTTATGCTCAATTTCAGGTTCCCAGTTATCGGATTTATTTTGCCTGGAAAACGGCTCTATCACCTTGAATTCACTGGTGTTTGTTCTTCCGCCGTCGAATCCTATCGTGGAAATGTAATTAAGGATAAGCTGTTCTCTGGCACCAAGCTTTCCCGGGAGGCCCAAGTCCCACCCCAAACCCAGCACAGTCTAAAGAAGAGGCAGTCTGTTTGAGGACATTGCATAGGAGTGCGTGGCCATCCTGCTGAGTCATCCTGAGAGAAGGAACCTCTGCCACGCAAAGATGTGCTGTTCTTTTTGCTTGGTGTTCACCACGTGCAAAAGCCAAGCCTGCTAGCCCAAGTATAGGAAGGGGAGGCAGGAAAGATCTGCAGTGTGTGGTATGAGCAGCACAAGTGGATGGCTGTGCCTGTAAAACTGTTCCAAAGTCTTTTACTACCTGCCACTGTGTCCCTGGTTCCCTCGATTGCTTTCCGAATAAACAGAGCTGCAGGGGCAGCAGAACAAGTAAGAATTATTTCCTACAACCACAGTCTGCGCATTAGGAAGCATGTCTCATGCTGAGAGACCCAGAAATGAGGATAAACATTGCATCTTGTGAGGGGACTGGTGAAATCCCTACATTAGGGATGAAAATCAGGAAACAGAGGTCTGTATGTGAGGCATTCAATAAATTTTGGTCTTGCTTTCCCCTAGAGAAAGCAAGCAACCATGGGAGAGAACCCATTCCCAAGGGTAACAAAATAACTTAGAGCCCTAAACATTTGTTTCACAAATGGATTGTGCAGGGAACTTTCAGCTGCTCAGCTGTTGAAAATAACTCTGGGGTCCTTAAAGATTTAAACATATTGAGTGTCAGAACATGTTGATGCCCACTTTTCAAATCTGCGGAAGTTCCCACTCCCACGTCCATGTTTGTTTTCTGCTTCCATTCCTTCACAAAGTTACGCTGTCACTGTGGTCTCACCAGGCATCTGCAGCAGCCTTTTTGCCCTGCTCTTTGTGTATCATTCCTAAGATATTAGAGCAAAGTCGGCCAGTGAGCAGAGTCTGAGTTATTAGATTCAGTCAGCAAATACAGTAGCAGTGTAAACAGCAGACACGTCCAGAAACTCCAGCGCCGTTCCCTCTGTCTCCAAGGCTCATGCCTCTCTTCTGTCCTGAATTTCTGAATAGTTTCAAGGCTCATGGCTGTCCTGCACTGCTTCAGCAGAGCAAGTACAATCCCTTGCAGTAACCTAAGATTTTTGGTGATTGGGGAAGAAATAGCCTCCTTTCACCATCTGCCTGTATTGGTAGTAAAGCCTTCTCAAGCTCTTCCTCTGATACACGTCTAGTGGTTAGAGGAAGAAGTAAAGAGTGGCACCAAGTGCCCTACCCCACACAGAGCACATTTGCATCTTCCAGTGTTTTTTTAGCTATGATAGTCCCCACTTAGCAAATCCTCAAGGTGCTGCTCAGGCAAGCTTGAGCAGGAGAGAGTCTATGTCCTAAAAGAAGCTGTTAGGGTTTCTAAGTAATTCAAAGACCCTGATCATGTGCTTATCTCCTTTTCTCTTTTGTCTCTTCAGTTGTGTTATCATTCCTTGTTATTTGGGTAGCACATGTTTTTGTGCAGGGTTTTAAATCTCTCATACTGTCTGTCTCTGGTAAAGTCATCTGGCATATGAAACCTCCTTGGAAAAATCTGACACCTTTCAGCATGGATCCCACTCACCCACCAGAAACACCTGGAGGTATTATGACCTGACTCACTGTTCCAGGTAGAGAAGGGTAAGGGGACAGGATGTCTCAGCCCCTGTTCAGGAATTACACACACACACATAGGCAGGCAAGAATGCCATGCAGCTGCACAGCTTTGGCCACTGCTGCCCAGGGCATCGCTTTCTGCTTTCATCTCCCCTCTGCAGTCACAGGCAGCAGAGGAGGGACCTTGATATTGCTCCCCTGTCTTGGTGGGTTTCCTGCCAACTCCAGCTCCAGAAGCACTGCTGTAATTCAGCAATTTTAATTTTTACAGAGAGCTGCTTACCAGACACCCATAATGATGAGAAAGACTTAATGGAAAGGAAGTGGCTTGAAAACTGAAAGGCCAGTAAATCCTCCTGCCCCCATTGCCTTTCTTCTCAGTGATCATGCTCTTTAAGGCAAACCTCCAGGAGTCTGACCCAGGGACATGGGACAGCTGAGGCTGGTGACACCACGTAAGTGGCACTCAGGCATTGTGCCTTTCTGCACAGAGGTGAACTGTGCTGGCAAATAGGGAGGCAATGTGTAACCTGCTGTGCTAATTATACATATGCCTGTAACCAGGGAAGGGCCTGAGTACGTGCCAGTGCCTGGAAGAGCCTGGAAAGGCAGGCATGATAGGAAAAACTGCTATCTCTCCTTTTCCTTCTCTTCTCCATTCAAGGCACTTACACAGAACATAATTGAGGATGGTATTTATTTATTTCTTTGAATGAAAAAAAATTTGTGCTTGTGATTTGGGAGGAGAGCTGCCAGAAGAGGAACTGGAGCCTTTCCAATACCTCACAGTCTAGTAGTTAAGCATTGCCTGAATTGGGCACCGGGGAATCTTGAGTCCTGCTTTCTTCCACTCACTGGTTTATAACTCCTGGCATTTAAAAAGGCACCTTGTAAACATTTAATTCATTGTTCTTTGCTATATAATTGAATTATTGGCTGGCTTGCCTTGTTAGAGGGAGGAAAGCACCCTGCAAGGGGAAGTTTTCTCTCTCCCCAGCCCTTCCTTGCCTGCTGGGGTGCAATGGCACCAGCAGCTTGATGTCTTCTGCTTCCCACCAGCTGCTTTCTGAAGGAAGGGAGGTCACCTTGGTGAAAGAAGGTCTTCTCTCTCTGTTGGCAGATCTTCCCTCACTTTTGTGGCACCTGCTTCGTGTTCCTGCATCAGTGGTGCTCAGCTGGCTGCTGTCAGCCCCAGCCCCAGCCTTGAGCAAGCCAAGCCAAGCCCTTCCCCATGGCTGGTTCCTGTGGAGGTGTGGGCCCCTGATGAGAAATGTGGTCCTTGGTCTCAGTGCTGGTGCCCTGGCATTCACCCATTCAGCTCTTCCCTGCTGTGCATGAGGAAGGTATAAGCACAAAGATGTCTCCAGCAGGCCTGGGGTTGGCTGCCTCCCTACTTAAGTCAATGTGATTATTTTTAAAGTGTTTTCCTGTCATTATTAGTTACCTTTAACGCACAGGCCAAGGCTTGTTTGACGCTGTCAGAAGCCCTGCCTTTCTGTTACACCTCATGTACAAATTAGTGGAGATCTTTGCTGCATTCCAATAAAGGACTGAAACAACAAATCTGCTGGTTAATCATTTATTGCTGTGTGAACCTGCTGAATAGCAAATATGCTAGAAAGGGGAAAGGAAAGGGCATAGCAAGAGATTAACTGAGGACAGTCAAAAGTCAAGCAGAAAGGAGCGGGGATGGACTGGAAAGGTCAGGTGGCAAACAGGAAGGTTACTGCAGTGTAAACACTGTCTCTCAGCTGCACAGGGGCCAAATGCACCATCCTGCTGCCAGTTCAGCGCTCTCTGCTCCATGATCACAGGTAGCAAGGGCTGAATGACTAGCTACTGCCTCCAGCTGAATTGGCAGCCTAGGAGAGAGATTTAGATTCACCAAGGTTTTTTTTACCTTTCCAAGATTCAGGTTCACAAAACGTGTGCTTCTCCCAAGAAGAGACCTGTCGTCTTGCAGCCTTTAAAAATATACTTCTCCATGTGAAGTGCTGCTCTCACCAAAGGCTCTGACTGCCAAAATCACCAGCACTGGCGTGGTGGGGAAGGCAAATCAACTCGAGCCAGAAAGCTAATTGTCCAGGAATGGACTTCTCTTATGGACTCCAGTGTGATAGGGCTGGTGGGACAGAGCACAGCTGTACCTGTTAGGATCGTAAATGGAGCTTGAGCAGAACAAATGTCCCTTTCCTAGATACCTGTGGGGTATTCACTAGCCCTCTAAAACCTATAGACCAGTGAGCTGGAATAGTGAATACAGCCATTGTTATCCGGCCTTGTCTGCTCCTGAGCACCCCAGTTAGAAGGCAGTTAGTTAGGAAAATAGGGATGGTCATTGGTCATTGGCAGGATTTCCAGTGTGTTTTTACTGGCCAGTGGGTGGTGGGATGCTTAACCCCATGGCAGCAGTGTCTGAGCAAGCAGCTATCCCATGCAGACTGGGACAGGGTCTACCCTCACACTAAGCACACATCCAGTAGGAAAGCTTATAGGAACAGCACCCCAAAGCCAAGGAAAGGGCTCCATTTA